ATCGGAGCATGTATTGTTTCATACGAAAACAAGGACCAATTAATATATCCAGTCAAATAATAAAAAGTGGCATTAACACTGAGATTTGAAAATTCAATATAAATTAATCACTCGAATTTTTGCTCCTTATATTTAAACGATTATCAAACTTGGCGTCCAGCTGCGTATTCTAAAAGTGGTCCTCTGCGTAATATTTTTATAATGCTATAATGATTAGTGGTATTGAAGAACTGATATTATTGGCATTAATGGGCCAATGTTGCAACATTTTCATTTGTGGAATCATAATTTGTTTAAATACTCCTATTATTTATTGTGGCCAACTTGCTTCAACAAAGGGAAAAGTCTCACACTTTTCTCTACTTTTCTTAATATTTATATTTGATTCTGTCTTAAAAAGTTTTTCAAAAAATTATAGCATTTGAAACTTGCCCGACGCGTACCAGCTAAATACATGAATTTTCAATTAACCAATACAAATTAACTTTACATGACGATAACAGCTAGGCAAAGTAAGAAAATGGTCGTATCTGAACCGAAATTCCAATACAAAAGATTTTATTGAAATATCCAACAAATATTTCAATGGGATAGTTTTATGAAATAAAAATTTGTTTTAGTCCATGCCTTTCAAATAATTTAATAATAATTTATTTTGATAGTAAATAAATTATTGTGCAGGTAAATACTCTACATACACGCTCACTCACCCATTTTGTGATGAAATGTATTGTGCAGGTGTTCTGAAGGTGACTTAAGAAATGTGCCATCTACACATAAATTGGTAAGAGAATGCGGGTTAAACTTTGTGGGGCTATGGAATAAAAGAAAATAAAAATAGGAAAAGTAATCAATTTGTAATCAAAATTTTGGCTGGAAACAAAGTAATTTATGATTGATCAATATGTATATGTAAATTAAAAAAAAAAAAAAACTTTTCTTTAATAAGTTCTTTGAGAAAAGTAATTTTGACTGATAAATAATTTTTAGAAAATAACTTTGGGTTATAATTAAGTAACATGTGAGTGATAAAGTAACTTTTGGCTGGAGGGGTTTTGGAGCGAACATTTTCTTGCTCACGTTATGCGGGAGATTTTTAAGATACTGTTTTTCTAATTAATTTTTTACCATAGATATTTAATACCAATTTAAATACGGTATATGCTGTTTTGTTTCTTCATATTTTTCATTTTAAAATAAAATATTTCCAATATCTTTAATATAATAATGGAGTCTAAAATTGGATCTACCATATGTTTCCTTAACCTTAAGTTTGAGCAAGAATAGAATCTATATAAATTTTCCCTTAACCTTAAGTTTGAGAAAGAATAGAATCTCTCTTATTTTATAAAGATTTGTATTTAATTAAAGTAGTAATGTATTTTCATCGATAAAATATTTTGTTACTAAATAAGAAAAAGTTTTAAATATTATTTTATTTTTTTTTCTATGTTCTTTTGGTAATATTTTTTTTTATCATATGCGGTTTGGTAATCTTTTTTACCATCTATGCTGAAACTTTTATTTTTATTTTAGGTAATGTCAAATCAATAATTTATCTAAATCAGTGTTCTAGAAGTCGCTAGGTGTTCGACCAGCGCCTAGGCAGGGCAAGATTAAATACCTTATTTTTTTTATTTATTTTCACTGCCTAGAAAATAAAACTTTCTCAACTTATAATAAATCAATAAACCTAAGTCCAAATAATAATATTAGTATATTATAAGAAAACATGATAACAAAATAATGTAATTAGTATTTAAAAAAATTAAAAAAAAAAATTAAAAAATTTCCGCCGAACCCGTCTAGGCGCCGCCAAGCTGCCTAGCCGCCTAGCCCGCCTAGAAGCGCCTAGGTCCGCCTAGGCGCCGCCTAGCCACCTGACAGATTTTTTTTCAGCCGATTTATGCAAATCAGAGGCGGCCGGGTACAGCCAGGGCGCCGCCTAGACCGCCTTTTAGAACAGAGATCTAGATATGTTGATTAAATGTTTCAAATTTCTTAGATCATTTATATTATTTCTACCTAATTTATTTTTATTATTATTTTGAGAAATGTGATGTCAAGAACTTGAGATTATTTTTTTTTAAAAGTTCTACCAAATGTAGAATTTATTTGATTTGAAAATTATAAATTAGTTATATAGTTATGGATTAACGTTCTACCAAATTATAAATTTTATTTGTGTCAATATATAAAGACCTATAGGATCATACAATATGCAATAAGTTTTTTGACAAAGAGTGAATCGAGAGTGTTAAATATTCAATTAGATGGAATATCTGTTATTTTCTATTTGAGAAGAAATATTTAATAAAACTAAATTTGTACTTAATTAAATTATTAATAAGATTATGCTAAGTACATATTGGGCCATAAGATCTCCTACAAATCATATATTAGGTTATGACCTAATTATAAATACCTCATTACCTCTTCACAGTCTTTGATCTAAGAAGTGAGATACGGATCGTAACATCACACGATCTTGACAAAAACACTCTCTAGCTTTTTGGTCTGAGAATTCCTAACTTCTTCACCAGAAGGGATTCATTGGTGTTGGATCGTGCACCGGAAAACTGGATTCCATGGATACCATAGTCGAGGGCAAAACTTACAAACAACTGTAAGTTTACGTTTTCACTCACGCGACCTAGTGTCATATCGAATAGTTATAACCAGATCTTGGTTGTTGGTATGAAAATTTTAAAATTCTGCTGCGCGTGCGCTAGGTTCACACGTCTAGAATCCAACAGTGGTATCAAAGCTCAGGGTCGGTTTTTTGTAGCTGTTTGATTTAAAACTGAATTTAATTGGATCAAGAATATGCTAATTAGTTCTTTAGTTTAGTGATGATTAATCTAAAAGCAAAACAATTTGGAATTTTATGTTCGTTCTTCGAACAAGTCCGTCGCTATCCAACTCTCCCCGCCGGGATCGAAACTGATGTGGTTGGCCATCTGGATACTCACGCAATCTCGCAGCCTAGGGCTGCTGCTCTGCGACTGGACGACGGCTACTTGCAACAAAAAAAAAAAAAAAAAACATATTGTGGTTGCTAGATTTGTGCGGGTGTGACCGGCTCGAATCACGACGCCAATAGTGATGGCTTGTTGTGTGGTTGGATGCCAGAAACCCAAGCTTTGAGCTTGGGTTTGTCGCCGTTATTAGCGGATTTCAACTAAAAAAAATGACGACCTCGACTGATGGTTTGGCCACCCAACGGAGGTCGTCGTCGGTTGCATGCGGGTCTGGGACTCTGCGGCTGTCCGGCAGTCCGGAGGGGGGGGGAGGGGGTAGGACTAGATGATATGGCCCCTGCTCGGTTGAACTGGGGTAGCACTTTTAAGTAGAACATGTCGACCATTTAAGAATAGATCAGGTCAACCTACTAAGACAGAGTATATGTATAAACAAGAGAAACTTGAGCAGGACGGATGAACTACAATGGCGACCTAAATAACTAAGAGTGATCTGGAGCAAGCTAAATGAAGAAAGTAACAACTAGCTAGCAAGGTCGTGCACCTCGACATCATGATAATCGGCTATTAAATTTGGATAATGGCAAGATAATTTTGGGAACACCCGACCTAAGAGGCCGAGACCTACGAACACTGAGTATAATGACCTAAATGAAAGGGAACTTGTGAACGATACGAGATGAGCAAGGATGAATCTAATCAAGATAATGATGAATCTAATTAGGATAAGGATGAAATCAAGATAAGGGTGAATACAAAGCAAATAAGAATTAACATCAGACAGTTGGGTAGCTCCGGACAGAATGACCTTGGGCAGCTCGAGCAACTAATCTTACGGTGAGAGCTCCTTTCGACCTTTGTTTTGCAGGTAATTAGTTGTTCTCAGACAGTTGGAGGTTTCTAGTAGCCGGTTCAACCCAGATCTAACTTCCGGCACATTTGAGTTGTGTATGATAGTTTTTTAAGTCCAATTTTTAAAAAAGAAAATTATTCATGAGTTAAGAACTTAAGATAATGAAATCTATGAATAAGTGGGAACCAAAATTTAATACAATTCTAATTTCAATTCATCTTTAGGAATATTATTTTTCAAAAATATATAATTCGTGATTTTAACTATAATTAAATCAAGGATCAATGAGTAATTTTATTTATTTTTATGATAAAATAGTTGGGTTGTACTCAACAAACCAATATGCAACACACAAGCATAATTCAACTGAACATGTGGGAAAATTCTTGAATAATTTCAATCGATTTGCTGGGTCATGTGCGCCGATCAAATACAAAAGAACAAAAAAAATTAAATATATCTCACATAATTTTCTTATATTATTGATCTATTTTTGACTTCCATAAACCTAACCCATGCATAGACAAACAGAGACCCACGCCCAACCTCACACACTTTCTGTCCTATACTTCCAACATTTCCCACTAACATCACATTATAAATTATCTATAATATTTAATTATACAAAATATTAGTATCATACGTTTATTTATCATGTGGGTCAATTCTTTTTGCCATAATTTTCAAGAATGTATACTTATGAAATGTAAAATTATAAATTATAAAAAATAATTTTTTAATATAAAAATTATGTCAAATTATTGAAAATATATATCACCTAATTACTGGGTTTGTCGGAAAGTATATATTGATTAATTCGCCTAACAAAGAAACTTCTTAAATATGAGTTTTAGATGGACCTACGATTAGATAATTATATTTTTCAATAGATATACATAACTTCAAACTCAAAAGCCCTAAAAAATATTTTTAATCTAAAAAGTATTTTTTTATTATAAATACATATTTTTGTAAAAAAGAACATAAAAACAGTTTAATTTTTACACCGCCCCCAAGCAAATCACCCAACCATTTGTGACCTCCCCCACTCAATTCACATTTAATTGTATGTTTAGTTAATAACATTTGACCTATTGAGAAATAAACTAATAAAAAAAATCGTCTATAAATTACCCCATTCTACGCCCCTCTATTGCCGCCACAGGACGGACTCTGATAAAAACAAAGGAAAATGAAAAAACAAAAAACAAAAAAGCGCACGTAGAATTTATAAATTCAACAACCAGAACAAGAATTTTAAAGCCAGCTTTTTTCTTCATTCTCTTCATTTCTCTTTTTCGAGCTCCGAAAAACAAAAAACAAGAAAAGAAGGGCACACCCATCAAATGGGAAGCTCTAATAAGCCCCAAGACTGGTTTTTTCCCGCGGCCCTTCTCCTAGCGACGGTCGTACTCTCCGCACGCGCCGCCTCCGAGCAGCCGGTGCGTGGCATTCCCACCAACGGCAGCAAGCTTCTCTCCGCCGGGACTTGCAATTTGTACCAGGGCAAATGGCTCTATGACCCTTCAAACACCCTCTACAACTCGGGCTGCCCGTTTATCGACCCCGAGTTCAACTGCATCAAGTCGGGTCGACCCGACAAAATCTTTCAGAACTATGCCTGGAAACCAGATTCTTGCAACTTGCCCAGGTACCACAAATTTCCCAAAACCAAAATATAAGAAAAAGACTTGTTTTATTTGGGTAAAAAAAATGTTAATTTGTTGTTGAATCAGGTTTAATGGGTCGGATTTTCTGGAGAGATGGAAGGGGAAGAAGATAATGTTTGTGGGTGACTCACTGAGTCTGAATCAGTGGGAGAGTCTGGTTTGTATGATTCATGCTGCTGTACCTAATTCTAAATACAGCTATGTCAGACAGGAGTCACTTTCTTCAGTCACATTCCAGGTCAGCTATGCTTCTTCATGTTTATATATTAAAAAAAAAAAATCTTCATATTTATCATTCTGTTTATGTATAATTGTGTTTATGCTGGCAACCTCTGTTTTTCATTCTTTTGTTTCTTGAATTTTAGCATGTCACTTGTGTGTTTCTACTGAAATTTTGCCAATTACAGAGATTGGATTTTTAGACTCTATAAGACTTGTCTGATGTGGTTTTAATGAAATTTGAGTAGTGGAAAGTGGGTTTGTAGTTTTGAATTTTGATATTAACTCAACTTTGTAACTTTTGGTATAGGACTTCCATTTTCTTCACTAATTTAGGATTTAAAAAAGTAAAAAAGCAAAGATTTTCATCTGTCTAAATAAAATCTCCCCCATTATGTGAAAATCTGAAAATTTTTAGTTCTTACACTCTGTCTGCCAACAAGTTATTTCTCATGATTAGTGCCTTGCTTTAATAAAGTTACTTTGATTGCAGCAATTCTCATGAGCAGGACAACATATAGTGTAGTTGACAACTTTAAGAAAAACTTCAACCTTGTGCTCATTTTCAACAGTACATGATGAAGCAAAATCTTCATACTAAACAGCAACACAGATTGATAATCAATTTCAAGCCATTGAAATAAGATTAAGTCCCTCTTTGATTTTGTGAGGCAGAAGAAAGTTTCAGTTGCCATTTACCCAATAAGGTGTGAAAAAAGGGTTATTTTGTCATCAATCATTGATGTAAATGAGATTTGTGCAAAGAAAAAAGGTCCAACCTTTTGTTCCTTTGGAGCTGCCTTTTGTTTTCTTTTGATTTAGCCTTTTCTGACAACAGAATTTCACCCCCGCCCTTTTCTTTTCCTTTTGGTGTAGATTTTGCTTTTAACTTTAACCTAACTTGCCGGAGAACCTGCAAAGAGCCTAAACAAAACACACCATTTTTCCCCAAGAAATTAAATGAAAGACTCTGCAAAGGGGCTGGCAAATGGGCCAGACAAACTCCTAACCTCCACTGGGGACAGTAATAGATGGATTTACTCTTGAGTGGGCCAGCCCAAGTAAAAACAAACATCTAACACAGAAACAAAATCATTAAATTCGGTGGTGGTCTCTGTATACATCTCTCATTGTCGGCTCCTTTCGAATTATTGTAGTCCATGCATATATAAATTGTTGTAAAGTTTTTTCCTTTGTTTTTTTTGGCAATGATCATTTTTTTGTTACATTCAAAGCTTAAGTAAGGTACACTTATGTCTAACTCTCCCCTACTAATGTTCACCTCAGAATTATGGAGTTACCGTTTTTTACTACCGTTCGCCTTACTTGGTAGACATAACGAGAGAGTCCGTGGGCCCGGTTTTGAATTTGGGCTCGATTAAACAAGGTGATAATTGGAAAGGAAAGGACGTGCTCGTTTTCAACACTTGGCATTGGTGGACTCACACGGGAAAGGCCCAATCGTACGACTTTTTAATTTAATTTATTCTTCCCTCCTCTTCTCGTTATTGTTTTTCGTTAAACCGAATCTCCAAGCTTACTTACTCCCCATTTTGATATAATCTTTATAATTTTGCAGATGGAATTATATACGGGATGGAGCCAACCTATATAGCAACATGAACCGTTACATGGCTTTTTACAAGGGCTTGACCACTTGGGCTCGATGGGTCGATATTAACATTGATCCAAACAAAACCAAAGTCTTCTTCCAGGGGATTTCTCCTACTCATTACCAGTAAGAATATATTCCCTCTCAATCCTTTCATTCAATTTTCAAGAAAAGAAAGAAAATGAAAAACGAGTAGAATTAATAATAATATTAATGGATTTTGATGACAGGGCAAAAGAGTGGTCAGGATCTAAAGACTGCTCGAATGAACAAATCCCATTATCCGGGTCGACTTATCCAGCTGGGTCGCCTGAAGAAGTTCGGGTCGTTTATAAAGTACTGAGTAGAATTAAAAAACCCGTGACATTGCTCGATATAACAACTTTATCTCAGCTGAGAAAAGATGCTCACCCTTCGCGCTATGGTGGAAAAGGAAAGGGAGTTGACTGTAGTCATTGGTGCCTGCCTGGATTGCCTGACACGTGGAATCAGTTGCTATATGCATATCTCTAATGGATTAGATGATCTTTGATGGATTGGAAAATGTTGTCTATAGTTTTCTTTGTTCTAATATCTTTTACTCTGTAGAGTGATTGTAGAATTTGTTTGGGGGAGTGGTGCTTGGGATTGGTTTGGAGTGCAGAAAATAATGTGAGGATATTTGATTGTTGTCNGGCAAGGCAAGAAGCTCAATCATATGTTTAGAGCATATATAGCTATTGGATATAGATTATTTTGAAGAAAAGGAAAATATTCCGATGGAAAGAAGTGAGTTAAATAATATACATTCATTTGTAAGTTTGTGAATGAATATGAGATAAAATATAATAACTAAAATGAAAATGATATTAAAATATTAAAACGGTAATAGTAAATTATTGTTAATTTTAAATGGATAAATAGTAAATTTTATTGGAAAATGTGTAGCAATGATGAATTATTTTTTCTTTTTTATTTTTTGGATTAGATTGAAAAAAAAAAAAAAATTGGTTAAATGAAAGGTGATTTTTTTAGAAAAGGTTATATTTAAACACATGTCTAGTGAAAATAATTTAGCTGGCGAAACAAAATTGAATATAATTTATATTCCTTTTGTTGTATAGAAATAAAGGAACACTTGATACAATTACAGAAGTTCAAAAAATAGGAGGCCACAACATTGTTTTCCCTACCTTTAATGTGACAATAATTCCATCCCAAATAATCTTCAAGTCAAGTCTCTTGTTTTGGGCCTTTGGGCTCCCACAATAACGTCAGCATATACGGAATTAATAGGAGAGAACGTGAGTGGTGGATAAATAAAAGGCCCATTAAGCAAGCCCATGGCCATGTATCGGTAGGCGGCCTCTGTTAAATGGATACCGTCCCAATTGGCAAAAGTCTTTGGATCTGAACAGGCCTTAGACCCAATATGCCCACATCTTGCTGAGTTGTTGAAATTGTATGGCCCACCTCCTCCACAACAGGCCCTTAATACTGTCTCACTTGAAAACCCTGCAAGAGAGGTATTAGGTATATGGAAAATGAGAAAATTACACCGTCCACATATACATTTCTTTACATTTAGATATTTATGAAGTTTTTTAATATACTTTTCTTTTTATGAATGGTAGATTTGTAGTCTATTTTTACCAGTTGTTTATAAATCACCTTCATTTTTGGTTCATGATTCGTTTATTAGTGATTTATTTATGATTTTATTTTGGATGATTGCAAAAAAAAAAAAATGTATTAAAAATATAAATGGGAGTAGAAAATTAGTCAATCTTCTTAATTATTTCTCTTTGTGAAAGTTCAAATTTAACTTAATGCTTAATATTGAGTGTTTAAATTTACCATAATGTTGGGGAGCATGGACGAATCTCTTAGAAGCGCCATAGTAGTCGGCATAACTGATTCTTGCATGAGGGTATTTTTGTCTCAAGCCCTCCAGAGCAAGTTTGAGGTGAAAATTATGGTACTTTGAGAAAGAATTGTATGCCTTAAGACAACCATTTTGATCATAAGCTGATTTCTCACTTGTTCCAAAAAAGGTTTGATAAACTGCACTGCACCCAAGTGGCAGATTGCCTGCCACCATCAATTCTACTGCTCCTTCCTCTATGAGCACCTGATCCAACTCAAAAATAAAAAAAACAATAATAAAAAAAAAATGAATATTTTGGTAAATTGAAATCAATTTGCTCTATTATGTAAGAAAAAAATATTATTGAGTGCGTATCACAACTTAATAAATTATAATCATCACTGTGTATACGTGCAGTTCCATAATTGACCAGATTATAGGCCAACCAAGAAAACATTAATATTACCAAAAATAATTAATTGTGGTAATAAATGCAAATCACGTGAATGGAAAGCTTACACTTGTGGTGGTTGCAATAGTTTGGACGACAAGTGGTACCATTGCCTTAAGCTGAGTAATGTTAGCTCCAACAAAAAAGAGGTAGTTGTAGTCATTACCTCCAATCTCACCCACCACAAATAGGCTCCTTCTCAAATAATCTGTACAATCTGCTCCAAAAAGCAAGACATTAATTGCCACAACTAATCTAACTTGAAGAAAAAAAGTTTGAATTTGGGTAATTTGATGAAATGTGAGTAGTTTATTTGTAACAAACCCAATTTAATTCATAACCCTTAATTTTAGATTTAAGTATTGTTTTAAGTTAGGGATGATAACGATTGGAACGATGCGAAACGCGAACATAACTAGAAAATATAATTATAGAGACAAATGACACGATTACCAGTACAAGAAGCGGGATTACACGACATGACAAGAAATAAGAAAAATGGTGTATTCGTTTGAGATTTCTAAAGACTTTCTAAGACTTCACAAATATTTCTGGTGTATTTAATTTAGACTATTTGAAACTTATAAAAGTTTTGAGGTATTCATATGAGATTTTAAAAAGTCTTACAAAATATTGAGGTATTTAGTTTTTTTAGATTATGATTTGTTAAGAATTTTTAAGATTTGTTGAGATTTCAAAAGAAAAAACCGTATATGAAATGTCACTCCAAATCTCACCCTTCAGACTATAAATATTTCGCAGAATTTCTTTTAAATATAAAAATCTTAAAAAGTCTGAAATTTAAAAAATCTCAAAATGCCACTCGAAATCTCAAACGAATACACCCCTATTTTTTTTTTTTAAC